CCACCTGAAATCTGGTGTGAGCTTGAAACCCAATAGATGATCAAGTTGTCTCTCGGAGAGTCCAGCCGTTCATTATGACTGAAGAAAATTAAGGGTCTCCTTGATGATGATAAAACACTACTAGCTTGCTTTTGAAGGTATTCAATGATACACACCCGTCTCACACCATTCACATGTGAAAGCTAGGTTAGAAGATCGATCAACTGCTAACCTCTGCTCATCTAGATTTTCGAACGGAATATGGCACGAAGCCGAGTTTAAAGTGCAAAATGAATCGTCTCATAAGCACTTCCATTTTGGGGACGCCTCAAGCGTCAAGGATTAATCCTAGCCCCTTATCGAATGAGAGATGCTACTGTTTCACCTGGGATTCGATCATATTATACCACATTTTAACCCCAATTGGCTTCTGCTTGAGCGAGCTAATTATTTAGTTGAAACATAAATAATTTCCGTTTCTTTAACTTTATTCTTATTCCGTTTCAACTTTATTCTTCAAAATATATCTTATTCCGTTCCATAAAACGGAAATTATAACAAAACTTAATGAATAATTTCTTGAATGATATTATTTTTTAGCATCCACCTATGGATTAAATAGCAGATCAGATTGCGTTCTCTCACCATAATTGCACATAGAGATATGTAAGTCTTTAAATTAAAATAACCATATGTTCTCTTAATGGAGTCATTTATATTCTCAATGAGAATTCCATCTTCCTTTGTATCCACCTGCTTTAATGAAAGGCTTTATAGTTTTTGAAAGGGTAAAAAATATTAGAGCGTTTTGTTTCCATTGTTGTTAGTTTACATTGACGATCGAGCCATCGTGTCAGAATCCACAGTTGACGTCATATTTACGTCAAAGCCTTTTACTGTAAGTAAAAAAAGTAGCTGTCGTTCATTTTTACCTCAAGCACGAAAGAGTTCTCACGTCTTCCGAACTAAAGCAATGAAAGCGACGAGCGAAAGCATTTTTGTTTGACTCTACATTTTTTCTTACGTTCCATATTGAGAGTGGAAATCAAAATCTACTTGTTTTAGCAATTATAAACATATTTCAGGGAAATAAAATCATATTTAACAAGAAGATAAACCGCCTCATCATCATCATCATCAGCAGCAGCAGCAGCAGCACAGTTCCATGACCGGGTATGGTCGTTGGATCGTTGCGCAGCTGAGTGTCTAACCAGTTCCTTCCAAATATCTGAGTTGAAAACCGGGGAGGTATTCGTTCATACGTAACGTGTCTTGGACAAGTAGACTTGGCGGGGCCCATCTCACTACAGGTTCACCCCTTGATATCCTCAAAACGAGAAGGCTCTTCTTCCTTACAGACTCGCGGCCGTTTGATTTTACTGGCGTAAAAACTGGCAATCGCATGACATTCAAATGCTTTCTCGTAATTTTGGCCGGATTAAAGAGGTGTGGGACTATCAGCTTGTTATGAAATCGAGAATGCAATAATGCCGAAATATATATATATATATATATATATATATATATATATATATATTATTTTACATATTTATATTGTTTGTATATTTTATATATATTTGCTATTATATATACATTTGTATATTATTATATATATTTGTTATTTTATATATAAATGATATATATGTGTATGTGTGTGTGTGTGTGTGTGCGTGTGTAGGTACCTCCCCTCACAAAAATGATACCTAATGTTCAAAATGATTTTTTTAAAATGAAAGATTTTTCTTGAAGCTTTTATTTTAGTTTTAATTTCAACCAAATAGATTAAATTTAACATTTCATGCAAGCAAAATACTTTGCTCTATTTCAAAAACTAATTTAAAATCAATTTAAATTAACTGGACTGAATTCTCTTTTCTAAAATAGTTGTTGAGCGCCCTTTTTTAGTCGTATTTCATTGCAATGTAATCCTCTTTTTGACCATAAAACTTTTTTTTATCAAGTTTGGCACCTTTCTTCATCATGGTATTTTTTTTATAATATATATATATATATATATATATATATATATATATAATAACTTTTTGAAAGAAAACAAAGAACAAACAAAGAATCTGAGATTATTGTTGCTGCAACATGACGTTGATATCCAAAAAGTTGTTCTGATGAATGTAATTGGAGATGTCCCAAAACCAACTGTAGGAAAAAGAATATCTTTCAAGAAAGACTCATATTTTTTTTTTAATTCTCAAGCAATAGACAATAGCTGGCTTCATTTAAAACGTTTCGTTAGAGAAAAAGGAACCAACAAGCATACGCACGTTGGCAATATTTATCTGAATATATGTTCCGGGAAAAGTAAAAAATGTATTGAAAATATATTAAAAACTAAACGATATGTGTAAATTTTAACTGTCCATTATGTGTATGGCCCCAATTCTGGTCTTTTACCAATAACTGTATATATATATATATATATATATATATATATATATATATATATATATATATGTAATGGATGTTCCAATATCTTGGACCGATTTTAAATGTGAATTAAGTTTAAGCGTCCAATGATTTTTTTTTCTTTTACTTTCAGGTTTTGCGTACATTTGACTTAAATAACATGACCCAATAGAGAAATAAATAAATTTTCAACAATACCACTGATTTATTTACTGCTGACTTTGATCCGTCTTAATGAAACACCGTTATAGATAATCCGTCTTAATGAAATACCCGTTATATATATATATATATATATATATATATATATATATATATATATATATTGTGTGTATTTAGGCAGCATCTTTTCATTCATACACGTTTCATTAAATAATATAGACAAGGGTTGTCTATTTGTTTATGTAAATATTTTTATAACGTCTGATAAGTTTAATAACATTATCGTTGAACGAAGAAAGAAATTCACAATATCGATCCATATTTTTTTTAATGCAATCTATGCTTTTGGCTTACTTAAGCCATTATCAAAGATGTCAATTACAAACATATTAAGCAATATACGGACAAGACAGTGACAATAGTCTGTCAATGTTTACATAGATGATTTCTAAGCAACGATAAACACGTGCATATAAGACGCTAGAAGCGAAGATCGCATCTCATGACGTCACACATGACCACACGAGTGTGAATTGGAGAAGTATGAAGTATGGGATGCCGTTGGTATAATTATATATTATAGACATTTAAGGATATTTGTAGAGATTCCATAATTGATTTTGTTTAGGTTGGGTTTTAACTGTTTGTTGTATAATGCTTCAAGGATTTTTAGTTTTTGTCTATTGTTTTCATGTCGAAGTATAATTGTGTTTTCGACAAGTATTTTACGAAATTGTGTGTGCGGGCAGGCATGTTGTTTTAAATGCCTAAAAATGTTAGAGTTTTCATTCAAATGTAGTGTCAAGCGTCGTGAAAGTGAGTTTGTGGAGTGATATATATATATATATATATATATATATATATATATATATATATATATATATATATATATATATATAAGGTGCTTCACAATTTTTGAAACAAAATGACTGGGCACAAATCAAAGGCCACAAATCAAAAGCGCAATGGAAATTACATTTATTGAAATGTAAGAGGATAACATTTTAGTCTCAAACATGAACCCAAAATATCAAGAGGAACCCTAGAGTACATGTTCTAGATGTCCACCGTCCAGTTGAAGGCACTGTTCAATGCAAAGGTGGTGATAACGCGTGCACGTTCCTCCTGGGTGATCGCTTGAATCTTCTCAGTGATGGCTGCTTTCAATGCAGCAATGGTGCGAGGGTTGCTTTGGTAGATGTTGTTCTTGAAGAAGCTCCACAGATAGAAATCTGGGTGGGGAATTAGGTCAGGCGAGGGAGGTGCCCATTCTACTTAAGCTTTGCGGCTGATGAGACGCTCCCCAAACTTTTCACGGAGCCATACCACAGGAACATTAGCAATGTGAAGAGGAGCATCATCCTGCTGGAACCACTGTTCCTCATCATCAAAGTCCTTTTAGAGTTTTTTTTTTTTTTTTTTTTTATTAATATGGATATTTTTAGATTCTGGCATAAATTTTTTAAATATTTTTAAAGAAATTTGTTCGATATTCAGCGATTTTTTTTATTTTGAGAGAATCTGAACAAGACAGATGTGCTTAAAAGGCAGTATAGAACATTGGATAATTGACGACGGTCTTCGTAGCTGACTCGGTTAAAAGCACGTCAGATCTAACTGGTTTCGCCAGCAAAGAGGGACGCAGGTTCGTATATATATATATATATATATATATATATATATATATACTGAGGTCAGCACAAAATGATGGCAGTCTGTTTCATGCTGGAAAAAGAATTTTTGTAGATTTTGAAAGAATTATTGTGGATTTTGAGAAAATTATTGCGGATTTTGATAGAATTATTTTCAAATATTGGGAAAATTTCTTTAGATTGCGAGAAAATTATTTGAAATTTTGTGAGAATTTTTTTTGATTTTGTGAGAATTTTTTTTTGATTTTGTGAGAGTTTTTAATTTAGATTTAGATTTAAAATACTTTCTTTTTTAGATTTTGACATAAATTCTTTCAGATTTCAAGAGAACATTTTTAGATTTTGAGATAATTTTTTTCACAATTTAAGATAATGTTTTGCTTAGATTTTTAAATACATCTTTTAACCCACCAGAAAGCGCGCTAGAGTTTTGATGCAAAGTTTACGGGTTCATATAGAAATGGAAATTGTGGAGAGCGATGATGACTTACGTCTTGGACAGAATATAACATTTTAAAAAATCTGAAGTAATTGCGAGAAAACATTTATCATCAATCATTTATGTTAAATTTATAAATATGTATATTGCTTAAAACTTATTATTTAACAGAGAAGAGTTCTCAATATTAGAGATAGCGCATTTGTAGTTATACACAGTGTGGACATAGCAAGACAGCATGGTTACTGCTAGTTTGTCACTTCAAAGTGATCTTCAGATCAATATATTGTAGGCGTCATGTCGTATATATGTGTGTGTATATATAGAGAGAGAGAAAGAGAGAGAACGAGATAGATAGATAGATAGATAGATAGATAGATAGATAGATAGATAGATAGATCCTACAGAGCCCGAAACTGGTGAAACCTAGGTAGGTTGTTGATGGCGCTTTTGGATTTATTTTATTTATCCCTGCTCTACTTAGCGTATTGACCACTCTACACGATAGCTTTATTACTCGTTTGTTTGTTTTTCTTTGGGCTAAAAACTTAAGGCACTGGACGATTTATTTCGACCTGTTCGGATGTTTCTAGTTCTTTCTTTTTTTTCCAATTTTTTCCTCGGGTAACAATTTGTTTTGATATATTTGCAAGTTGGGCTATCTGAGGTTTCTTACCAAGTGAGTATTACTATTAGTATAATATATATTAACAAATATACGCATTATCCCTCAACGATAGCACGACTCGGAGATCCATACATAAATGTATTCAGGTGCTGAGTATATACCGTGGCTTTGAAACTTCACTGCGATATTCAGACCAATATATACAATGTAAGTATCATGTCAGTTACACACACACACACACACACACACACACACACACACACACACACACACACAAATAAAAATAGCACACAACAATTTACAATCTATCTTTATAATTAATTTATTGTTTTACAATCTATTTGTTTTTTGTATTTAATTTGTTTCATATATATATGTGTGTGTGTGTGTGTGTATGTATAAATATAAAAGTGAACATTGAAGTCAACACTCAGAGGCGACAGGCTGTTTCCTGCTAGACGCAATCGTCAGACCGCCTGAAGATTGCGTCTAGCATAAAACAGCCTGTCGCCTCTGAGTGTTGACTTCAATGTTCACTTTTATATTTAAATTCGGTTTAAGGTATCGCACTTTCTGACCTTCGTTAAAAACACTTCCTAGATATTTAATATCTTATATTGTTAAAGTTGTGGTCGCCAATAATAAATCCTGGTTGGACTTCTATTTTTTTCATGATCGCTTCACTATAAAGTTCGATTAAAATCGGTGTGAAGACACATCCTTTTCTTACACCATTTTCTATGTGTATAAACGCTGATATTGAGCACTTTATCCCGTAATTATAGCACATCTTAAAACTATATTTCTTCATATATCCAAATGAGAGAAAGAACAGATGAAGTAAAATCCCACTGTTCGTAGCATTTACTGTTAAAAAAGTGCTCAATACAAAGTAGAGCAATATATCATTATTATTATTTTTATTATAAGAGATTATAATAAAGATATGTTGAAATCGCTACACAAAAGCTTTCATGTTTCGATACTATGATTGTACTTCTTCAGGCGATGGTAAGTAACTGGTGATTAAATGATTTTTGAGGAAATTTAAAAGCAAAGTGTTACCTTTTTCCGAAATTCCAAGTGGTGGAGACATAACGTCAGAATTAAAAATAGAATTGTGGTTATGTCTTGATTAACCAATTAAATTTCACATCTACGCTATATAGAAGAGTAAGCCCAGAGGGTGGAGGTGAGTTTTTTTTTTCGTGTCAAGATAAACCGGAAAATAAACAGACCATCATTGACGATTGCGGAAAATATGTCAGCAACAAATGTATTACGATACATCTATACTAATCAACCATTGTCTACAAGGTCTGTCTCTGTCTGTCGGTCAGTCTCTCTCTCTCTCTCTCTATATATATATATATATATATATATATATATATATATATATATATATATTTTCTTTTCCTTTTCTTTCTGTTAGTGCTATTGTTTCTATAACTTATGTTAGCGTTTTTGTATCCGCTATTTTTTAGGGTTGTTTTATAAAAATTACTATGTTGTCGGAGAGAAAAATCATCTGGTATACTCCTCCGTTCAACCAAATGGTTAGTACTAAGCTAGGACATAAGTTCCTAGCTTTAATTGAAAAACACTTCCCTACTAAAAGCAGACTTAGCGAGATCTTTAATAAAAACACCTTAAAATTAAGTTACAGTTGCACTGAAAATCTAGAAAGAATCATAAAAAAACACAATAATAAAATCCTGGAAACATACGCGCGCCAAAACAATATTAATAAAAATCCTAAATTAAAATCAGACAAAAATTATGTGATTGTAGAAAACCTGAAGACTGCCCACTGGAAAATAAATGCCTCATAAAATCCGTTGTATACCAATGCACTATCTCATCCATTGAGAGCCCTAACACCGATAGGATATACATTGGGTCAACGAAGAATGAATTTAAAATTAGGTGGAGGCAGCATAAAAGCTCCTTCAATAATATTAGCAATAGAAATCAGACATCTCTATCAAAATTTTTTTGGCATTTAAAAGAAATGAATAAAACACCAAAAGTAAAATGGAAAATAATAAATAGAACAAGAACTTGTAAAACCTGGGATGACCCATGCCCTTTATGCCTACATGAAAAACTACACATAATTAAGTTTCTAAATAATGAAAATTTATTAAACCATAGACATGAGTTAACGGTTTTTTGCCGACATCAACAAATTTTCGCATTAAATAATTAGCTTAAAAAAAATAATAATCCAATTTCATAGTTTAATAAAGGGCTTAAAAGCTTAACCCAATCATTAAATAGAAAAAAACCCTTTATGAAGCCGTCAAAAAAAAAAAAAAACAAATTGTAGTTCAGTGCGGCGCGTTTATATATGAAGCAGCCCGTTGAAAATAAATAAATAAATAAGATAAAATAAAACAAAACAAAATTATCCAGACACTTACCAACATACCGTGGTGCCAAAATCTATCTTTCTCTGTGACTGACCAGACGATGCGCGTACATGAATGCCACCATTCACTTTGAAATAGACACCCCACCCTACCTCAGCTTGACCCCTTCCTGAAGGTGACTGATATGTGGATAAAAATTAACTCTTAGGCCCCATATCAAAAATGGTTGCCCCAGCTGTTTCCATAGTAACGAATGAACATGCTTATAACGATGCGTAAATTTCAAGTTTGGTTATTCCACTCGTGCGAAGAGGAGACCCACCGTTTATCCCGAGCCGAATGCTCCTTCTACCGTAAATGTCGTCTTGCTCTGAAACGCATTTACGGGCGTCGGATGGTTTCTGCCACATTTAGGGATTGTGGTTTTTTTTATTACTAACCCTATTTTGTTTTGTTTTCATGTAAATAGTATTTAATTCATATTGTAAATAATCATTGAGTTTTTTTTAAATTGTTGTTTTTATTCCCCTCCCCCACCACAGACTTCGAAATGTACATATGGGGACTAGTTAGGATTTCATAGAGACATTGAGCTATTATGGTGGATGTAGTAAGAAAGTTAGGAGGGAATGTGTTGTTTTGGTGATAGGACTATTGTTGGTATGTTTGGGTCAGTGTCTAGCTAAGTTTAGAATTAAGACAGAAGAAGACCGTCCTTTCCCCCAACCCCCCTTTTTGACCCAGTGCCACATTTTGTACTATTGTACGAATAAATATTATTCTTAAATTTTCGCTTGAGGATGAAACAGGGCTTGTTACTTTAATTCAATTTAATTTTAATAATTATATTGAGGGTTTCGGCTCTAGTTTTTGAAACATGAGAACTCTTATGTAGCGAAGGAATCATATTTTAAAAAAAATAATTATGATATATATATATATATATATATATATATATATATATATATATAGAGAGAGAGAGAGAGAGAGAGTGGACATCGGAATCAACACTGTATGGTGACTGATAGTTTCACGCTCCTAATCTAATGTTAGTTTATTCAAACAGAGAATATAATCACTTCAATTGACAAATTATTTTCAACATGTCGTCATTTTTCAACGATATGAGTAAATACACAATAGAAGAATAGAAGAAAAACAAAACACAAAAGCTAGTGAATGAGGAAGGAAGGAAGGAAGGAAAGGAAGAAGGAAGGCGGTAAGAATGAAAGACAACTGTGAACGAAAAGAAAATGGATGACTTTTACTTGAAATATAATCTGACGAGAAAATAACAAAGTCGTTACAAATGATTAACTTCTCCAGTTGCAATTTCGTGATGTCAAAATCGAGGAATCTAAAATCTAACTAGGAAGACGTTTACTTGATAGCAAAGAAAAACCAACCATTGTGCAGTTGATCACTGACTCAGCAAGATCGTCTGCTCTAATGGAAACTGGTTTGGTGAAGTAGGTTAAACATTGTCTGTTGAATGGGATAGATATAATACCACCATGACATGCGAGTACAAAAAGCAAATTGAAGATGTGTGGATAAAAACATCAAAAAAAAAAAAAAAAAAAAAAGGGTGGAAGAAAAAAAAAAGATAAAAAAGGCAAAAAACGAATTCAAAACAAACACATTCACAAACTTACGAAATAATACCCTAGTCTTATATTGCACGCACATAAAGTTCGGGCGACGTTCTTTCATATTCTGTGTGCCGATCATTTACGAGTCAGCTGTTAGCGGGTGACAAGCCAGACGCTTAGAGCAAAAGTAATTTGGAAGCCGAGAGAAGACTTGCTGGCCGAATGAAATATTTAGCCCCTTAGTCGCTCGTAGGAGAAGACAAAAAGTAGCAGTGTTATCTACCTATTTTCACAGACCGTTCGAGTTTCTTTTATAGCGTGGTTCACCCTACACAAGGCCCAGTAAGAGGTAGTTTATGCGTATAGGAGGGGAAGGTAACGGTTAACTCTAGACTTGAATAGGTTAATACTGTAATGATCGGGGAAACATCCTCTTGGGAGTCTTTTCCACAAGGGAGGGGTTCACGGGAAGAAACTGTTCGTGTGGAATACAAAGGGAATGTGGGTGGTTTCATACAATGTGATTGGCATGGCAGGCCCTGGATGTGAAAGTTAGAATCAAGAAATGTAGCTCGTTCGAGCACTTTCCATGGAAATAGCAATAGGACAGTTTTTGTTCACACCGATGCAAACTAGAATCGAAACACAAAGTGGTGGGATTTGACCAGTGGGTGAAGGACCGAGGGAGCAATGATTGTGTGTTTACTTTCATTCCCATTTTTTATCATACACCCGAATCAAACGTCTTACTCTTAATTTTCTGAATATATGCTCTGTTACGTCCAAATTCAAGGCATTTTCGTTTCACT